CGCATGTGATTCTTCTGTCCCTTGCACCCGCGTGTGATTCTTCTGCCCAGGGAGTGCTTGCCCCTTTTCTTTGAAGTCTGGCTTCTTTTCCCCCTTCAGGTCTTAGCTTTCCCATCTGGACCTGACTACTGAGACTGGCCACTTAATGGGTCTTTCCATCCACCCAAGAGGCCTTTCCTTACAACTCCATCAAAGTCAGCCTCCTGTTACACTCCATAACAGCACTCTCTTTGTTTCCTGGTCAGATTTCTAGCAATCTATGCATCTGTTTGCTTATTGTATGTCTTCTTGACCTCATCATAAGCTCACTGGAGGCTGAAAACCATGTCAGTCACCACTATATCCTCAGCAAGTTACCAAGAGCCTAGCATTTACAAGGTGTAGAACACATTCTTGTTGAATAAATAAATAACATCAGCTCTACTTTACAGGTGGAAAAACTACATCAGAAAGAGCTAATGACTTAACCAAGTTGAAATATTAACTATAGAGCAGAGGTTTGAATGCAGGTCTCTTGCTCCAAAGTCCACTCTTTCCACCACACAGCACTCCCTCTCTCAGCTGAGGTTGGAAGATCACATACTGTATTCCTTCATTCATTCAACATCCAAATAATACTTTCAGTGCTTACAGCGTGCCAGGTGCTGTGTTAGATGCTGGATAATTGACCAAAGTATGGTTTGCGGAAAAATAGCTTACCTTTTAGTTTCTCAGACTCAACAACATGGGTATTTGGGGTGGGATCATTATTTGTTGTCAGGGGCTGCCTTGTGTGTTTGTAGGATGTCCAGCAGCATCCCTGGCCTTGACCCACCGGAGGCCAAGAGCACCTGCCAAGTTATGTCAATCAAACATGACTCCAGACATTGCCAGATGTCCACTGTGGGGGGGGGGGCACATAATTGTCCCTTGTTGAGAACCACTGCTTTGATGCGAGAGAGTCCCAGTAAGTCAAAGATTTCATTATGGTGGCCAAGTGCCATGGTTGTGAAATGCCTACAGAAAACACAGTGAATGGATAGGTAACTGGACTGCGAGGGGAAGTGAGCCTTGGGGCTGATGCTTGGACCAAGTTTCATATGAAAAGTCAGAGTCGTTTAGATAAAAGAAGGGGATGAAGGGCGCCTGGGTGGCTCAGTCGTTAAGCGTCTGCCTTCGGCTCAGGTCATGATCCCAGGGTCCTGGGATCGAGCCCCGCATCGGGCTCCCTGCTCCGCGGGAAGCCTGCTTCTCCCTCTCCCACTCCCCCTGCTGTGTTCCTGCTCTCACTATCTCTCTCTCTGTCAAATAAATAAATAAAATCTAAAAAAAAAAAAAAGAAGGGGATGAAGGCTTTCCTGGGTACAGGTCATGACATACGCAAAGGCGTGGAAGTGTGAGTGTCAAGGAACTGAGTAGAGTTGAGCGTACCTGGGGTGACCCGAGACAGGAGCCCGGGGCAAGGGCTGTCTCTGCCAGGGCAAATTTTTACTTCTTGATTTTATTTTTCTCCAGTCTATTTCCAGTTTTACAATTTATGTTTGAAAATTGTTTGTCTGCACTTGACAAATCAGGGGCCCCGGCTATCCAAGAAAATCTGATGTCAGCTCCAAGGAAGGCTTTGCTTGCAAGACCTGTGGAACCCTCTAAGCACAAGGCCTCATTGATGTGCTAGAAATCCGTACAGAGAAGGGCAGAGATGGGTTTGAGTTTCAGGGGTGAACTTTGGCATCTGATTATCCTTTGGAGTCTTGGATTTCTAGCAACGCGATTAAGAAGTAAGCTGATCACCCACTTTACTGGAGGAAGAATTCCATAAGTCTCTTAGGTGTGATGCCTGGGAGTAATTCAGATCTGAGGTTTCTGACTTGTTCCTGACGCCTCTGGGTTCCTAACATGCTTGGAATCTCTCTCTCATAAACCATTATCTGCGACCATGGCGTATCACGTAAACATAGCTGAAGCAGTTCAGACTCTTAGAGGTTGCAATGAAGCATTGAAATGCCAAACAGGCAAATCCTAAATCCCAGCACAGATAGAACCAAGAGGTCCCTGTCCTTAACTTCCTAACTCTCTGCCAGTTATGCTGAGATTTCCAGCCAGAACAGAGCAGCTGCCATTACGTTTGTCTTGCTTAGTTGATCATGGAATGAAGCTCCGCATATACTTATCTCCTGCTGAGGTCAAGTTCAGTGGCAATGGTGAGTGTGTGCGACTGGCATTAGGAAGCACTGTAAAATAATATATAAATCCCCAGAACTTATCTTCAGTTTATAAAAAAAAAAAAAAGCCACTTATTTCGTGGCTCAGGAAATTTTATCCATCCTTAACACACATGTCATTAGCCCTCTTCCTGCTTCTGCAGGAAGAGGATTATTTACCAAGATAATGGTGACAGCCAGCATGTCCTGAAGGCTTCTCCAATCCTCATTCCAGAAGTGGGCTGAGTGTTTTCCACACACTCCCTCATTTAACCCTCACAGAACCGCGTGCAGCGAGGGCTGTCCTCACTGCGCATGTGAGGAGCTGGGGCCAGAGAGAGTTACTTCTGTGTCCCAGCTCACATGTTCCTCGGGATCTTATGCTTCAGGGCTGGGATTGCCCCAAAGGTCATGATTTTCACTGCCACCCTGAACTTGGGGATGTGCTGAGGAAGGGCGGGTCGTGGGCTCAAAGATAACCAGGCCGAGTCTTTGCTTTGCTGGGACTGCACATTCCAGGGGCAGGGCGGGGGGGACTGGATTGGGGGACAGACGTGGAAATATGGTCTGCACCAGTGTGTATGAGTGTGACAGAGAAAACTGCAGCATGTCGTTGGAGCACATGGGGAGTCCCTGATTTCCAGGGATGGGGTGGCGCTTGGGCCGTTTTAAAGGTAGATAGCAGTGAGGTGGGCTGAGAAGGCAGGGCGCATGGCAGCTGGAGGAACTGGGCGTGCCACGGCATGCAGGTGGGGACTCGGGGCAGGCAGAGGCTTGGTGCAGATGGAAAGCCAGATCCTCTTGGTGATCTAGCAAGACACAGGAGGCAGGGGCCAAAAAGAAGCAGACCTGAGGAGAGACTGTCTTAAAGTCCCCCTTGTACTGAGCTCATGGGTAGGAAAGCCTTCCCTCTGTCAGTCGACGTCCTGCCTTGTCCAGGACTTCTAGCCCATGGACCCTGATATAGTTCTCTGTCCTAACAGTCATTCATCTCGAACTGGTCAGGAAAGCCACTCTGAAAATTTTTGTCTTTGGCGCGGGGAGGATAGAGCCATCCGAGTACTAGAGTTTCCCGGAATGTACTCTGGTCAGGTTATTAGTGTAACGATGCTGGGTGAGAGAGAACAGTCCAGAGGGAGCCGGGAGTAACGGCTGCCCGTCCATATGTTCATTCATTTATTTATTAACCAAATACGTCCTAGTGCTTTCTCTGTGCCAGACTGAAGGCAGGAAACACTGCAGCTGTTATCACATGTAATCCTCCCCAGACCTCTACGCAGCAGGTGCTCTTAGGCCCACTTACCATTCAGGACCTGGTGCTCAGAGGGCGTGGGGCACCTGCTCTGCAGGGGGAGTGTTCCACCCTCCTCCACGGCTCCTGCACCCGTGACCTCCCCACTGCACCTCGCCAGAGACACCAACAGCTTCTGGCAGGAAACACATGGCTGCAGTCACTCGACACAGTCCTTAGAAAGACTAAATTAGCTCGGGCCAAGGCAGAGCTGCGTCAACAGCCCATATTTATTCCACAAGCACATGGTGCACCTACTGTGTGCTGAACCCTGTGTGGGGGGTAATGAGAGGAAGCCCCCGAATCGAGTCTCTCGATGTGGGAAAACTCGCCATGTGGCTTTTCTCTGGTATGTACCCCACAGAGAGGGCCTTGTTCCTCCTGCCCACTAGGGAGAGGGTGCAGGTTGAGAAATAGAGGGAAGAGGTTAATATTTACAGAGCACCTACTGCGTGCCAGGCTCTATGCCAAATCCTTGGCAAACATCCTCTCCTTGCAACCGGGTGAAGCAGAAAGTGGGCACCCCTATTTTAAAGATGAGGTACCTGAGGCTCAGAAAGTGCACAGATTTGCCCAAGGTCACCTGCATGGCCAGGGGTGGGGCTGGACACAAGTTTTGCACCAGGGCTACTTTATGTTGGACTTATTAATTTTTTTTTTGTGCCAAGAACACTTTTGGCCCTGTGATGAAGTCCAGAGAACTTTTCTCAGAATCACAATCTTGAATTCATATGTAAAATGCATACGGTTGCAAAAGAAACTGATTGTATTGGTAACTATCAAAATATTGAAACATTTGAGATGCAGTTATATATGGGCTTCTCCGTGATGGATTTAAGGACAAGACCCGTGGCCGGTCAGAATACTACCATCATTTGGAAACAGCTATGAGCACAGCAATCCCCGGAGATAACAGGATCTAAAATGCCCTGGGATTTCTGTTGTGGAAGGCACAGGATAAGACCAGGGCATTGAGGGTATTACTAGGGTTTATTATCTACATTCATCATTGAAAGACACGCTCATTTCTGTTAGAGGTTAGTAAATTAAAGATGCAATGTTTTTCCCATCCAAGCTCAGGGACCACCTCCCCCTCCAAGTTCTAACCATCTGTGTTAGGGTGCCTGCTTTCTGTAATTTATGTCATTCGAGTCTGCCCAGAGCTGCTCCCTGCGCACCATGAAGTGGTACAAAGGAAGTTACTGAAGAGACAGGACAGGGGAAGGCATGAAGCTCAGCCACCTGCCACTGGGAGCTAGGCATTTGCTGTCCTCTGGGCCATTTGAGCTCCATGTCAACATTTGAGAAAAGGGAGGTGCAGAGAAGTTAAGAAACGTGCCCACGGTGTCATGGCTAGGAAGCTGCCAAGCCCTGTCCCAGTCCAAGCTGCTAAATCAATTTTAGCGCCGAGGGCTCGCCTCCCCCCATCACACGCGGAGGTCAATGTGTGAGTCTTTATGGAGAGGGACGGGTAATTACAAAAGCCTGCACTCAAGGAGGAAAATTGTTCACTTTTGCTTATTTTGTAGCCAAAAGCTGGGTCTCTTGGATCGGGTTCGCCTTTCTAATCCTCGTGGTAGCAATACTAAAGGAAAGCTATTTACCCCTCTGAATGTAGATGCCATAGAAGAAAGTCCTTCTAAAGAACCAAAGCCTGTGGGCTTAAACAATAAAGAACGTTTCCGCACCGCCTTCCGCATGAAAGCCTACGCTTTCTGGCAGAGCTCCGAAGGTGAGGCCTTTCTCGTCCCTCGCTCTGTCCCCTCCACTCCTCCCTCTGCCTCGCTCTCCCCTTCCTCCCCTCCCTTCTTCCCCGATAGAAGACCTGCCCCATCTGTAGAGCAGCCCATCCCCACCTTCCTGAACCAGGTTCGTGCTTCATCTCATGCACGCCCGCTGGGCTGGGGACATCTGTGACGCGTCCCCACAGCTCGGGGAGTGGGGGGCTCCCATGTTAGCTGTTCTCCGGGCTGGGATCGCCACACTCATCTGCGCAGATGCCTCCAGGGAGCCTTGGGACTCACAGCCTTGGCTCCTAAGGGTGGCCACATGGAGGTGAACTTCCATGGAGGTCAACAGAGAGGGCCAGGTGCAGGGTGATCTGGAGACCCAGGGGCCTCAGCACCCCCAGGGGGCGGGAAGAAGTCATAGAAGAGAGCCCTGTGGGGGCAGTGGGAGCAATTCCTCTGTGTGTCTCTTTTACTTGTGACAAGGGAGAACAGGGAGGGCTCAGAAAGTGACCCCCCAAGGTCACCAAGGTAGTGACTGACAGCAAGCATCTGGACTCGGGTGTCCAACGGTAACACCCACGTGGATGCCCTTTGCTGCCTCAGAGAGACCACTCAGGAACCCCAAAACTCATGTCCCCGCCTTGCTGGCCTTCTCCCCAGTCAACAGTCCTGAACCACAGGCAACTCTGACTCATGTCTGGAGAATAGAAGGACCTGCTAAGAAGGCCTGAACAGCGTCACAACTGGAGAACACCACATGGTTTCATGGCGTGGGAGCGAAGACTCTGGCGGTTGAGCCTCGAAGGCTCTGACCGAATGGGGTCCCCAAGCCTTTCCAAGTGCTATGGCCTGCTGTTTGATCTGTGTGTCTCCCTCCCAGATGCTGGGACAGGTGATCCCATGGCGGAAGACAGGGCCTACGGGAATGACTTCCTCATCGAAGAGATGATCCCCACCCTGAAGGCCGCCATCCGAGCCGTCAGGTGAGGCCCCCTCCTCCCCCACTGAGGGCCCACGCAGACCCCAGTTCAGCCCCCACAGGATATTGGCTTTGGGAAGGTGGGCAGGAAGCCCCGTCAGGAAACTCCTGAGTCAGGTCCCAGAGTATGTCATTACTCAAACGGGCATGCTGCCTGAAGAAAAATGATTTCTACATTAGCAAGGCATCATGGGTAACTCTTGCTCGCTGGTTTATAATAATGCTCCCACGGGGTCCTGACACTATTTCCGATTGCCATGCTCTTGTTTGGCTTTGGCCACCATTTCTTTTACAAGTCTGGTGTGGGGGGTATATTGATGTGGTGTTTTCTTCCTTTATAGGTTTCTTACCCAAAATAGCTCTTCCTATCTGTCTCCATCCATCTAGCTCTTTTTAATTAGCATTTTCAACAAGATAGTCAATTATAGAATTATGTGTGTGTGTGTGTGTGTGTATCAGACAAGACTATAATCTACCCTGGCTATTTTTGTTTTACTTCAGAATTCCACTAGAAAATAAAAATAGGCTTACTAACAGAAAACTTGGATCAGGAGAGGGGCTTATAAGCACTCTACAACAGTGGCAGTGAATTCTAGAAACTAAGCTGGATTCTCCAAAAACTAGTTGTGATATTTTTAGCAAGGTTCGTAGTCCAATCAATCAGGGACGCACAATAGGTTTATAAGATGTGAACCTCAGCAGAGCCGTTGACCTCGTTTCTCATGACACCACACATGCAATGTGACAGAATTATGGCAGGATTAAAGCATTACCTCTTAGATTCATAACTTCTTCAAAGATCTTATTCAAAGAAATAGCAAATGAGGAGCGCCTGGGTAGCTCAGTCGGTTAAGTGTCAGACTCTTGATTTTGGCTCAGGTCATGATCTCAAGGTCGTGAGATCGAACCCCTCATTGGGCTCCATGCTCAGCAGGGAGTCCACTTGAGGTTCTCTCTCTCCCTGTCCCTCTGCCCCTCCCCTTGTTTGTGCGCACTCTCTCCCTCCCACCCCCCCAAATAATAAATAAATAAAATATTAAAAAAAAAAGAAAGAAAGAAAAAGAAAAGGGAGGTCTCTGCTGGGATGATCCATGGTCTGGCTTCTGCCCTGGTCTTTTTAGAATTTTTTATTGATGCCTTAGTTCAGGGGTTGGCAAACTTTTTCTGTAAAGAGCCAGATAGTAAGTATTTCAGGCTTTGTGGTCCACAGGTCTCTGTTCGAGTTCTTAGCTCCAACTCTGTGGCACTATAGCAGCCACAGACAGCACGTCCATGAACGGGGGTGGGTGTGTTCCAACATCACTTCACTTTCAAAAACAGGCAGTAGGCCAGATTTGTCCTACTGATACCTACCTCGGAGGGAGCTGCGTCAAGGGCAGGCTTATAAAATGGCACCCAGTTGGAAAGGATGGCACATGAATTAGATGGCATAATCAATAAGCCAAAATAGTGTTGAGATGCTAGACCTGGGCTGTGACAAACAAAATGAACTCTGAATGCACTACGGCAAGAGACCCTCACAAGTAGAAGGGAGGGCCTGGGGTAGGCTGTGTTTCCCAGCGCTGGCCTATGATTAGGGATTTTAACTGACACCATGCTCAATGGGGGTTGACCCCGTGATGCGGTTTTCAAGGAATATTAGCCATCTGGGTGCCTTTATTGATTACCAGGAAGATGGAGGCGAGGCTTTGGCATCTATGAGTTCTGGGTACCCCCTTTATTAAGAAGCTGAGAAAACTCAGGGAACAGAAGCTAGTTCCTCTTTTCTAGGCACTCACAAGCCAAATAATTAGAGAGTCTGTTGAGGAAGAACTATGTCAGCTGTCCTCAAATAGAAAGCAGTGTGACACAGTGATTAAGAGCGTGGGCCTTGTCAGCATACAAACCTGGGTTTGAGGACAGCTCTGACATTATTAGCCAGGTGGCCCTGGGAAGATCTGGAGCTCTCTGGGCCACAGTCTTATCATCTACAAGTTGATCTGTTAGCGGATTGTTCATAAAGCACTTCGCTCCATGTCTGACCTGAAATGAATGCCCAATAAGTATTAGCTCTTATTGTTACTATGATTTTATTAGTATTCAAATGATTGAAGGGAGGGAGTCATGAAGAAGAGGTACCAACCAGCCTAACTCTGTGTGGTTCGGAGGGGTGGAACCAGGACCACGTGTTGAAACTTTCCCTCCCCTGTCAAGTCATTTTCTCTTTGGTTCTTTGCTCTGCCTGCTTCTGAGTTTGCTAGGCTTGAATAGGCTTCCTTTACTCTCTACTCATGAAGCACACATGTCTTTACTTCGCCTTGCAGAATTCTACAATTCCGTCTCTATAAAAAAAAATTTAAGGAGACTTTGAGGCCTTACGACGTGAAGGATGTGATTGAGCAGTATTCTGCAGGACATCTCGACATGCTTTCCAGGATAAAGTACCTTCAGACCAGGTAAGACAGTTGCATCTGGAGGAACTCTGCTCTCCTGACCACGAAGGAACTGAAGCTTGAGGAATCTAGCTAGAGTTCAGGGTGAAAGCCATTCAGAAATGGTCCAGAGTGCTGGGGAGCAAGTTTAAGAACAAAAACGTTCATCAAGCATTGTGGCTGTGAAGGCCAACAGGCAACAAACAGGCTGTGAAGAAGCTCTATGACATTGACCTTAGCCAAGGTCAACACCTTGATCAGTCCTCATGGAGAAAAGGCATATGTTTGACTAGCCCCTGACTATGATGCTTTGAATGTTGCCAATCAGATAGAGCTGATGATCAACTGAGTCCAAATATCCGATTCTAAATATAAATTTTTCACCATATTAAAAAAATGTTCATCAGGTATTATTTATAATAGTGAAAATATGGAAACAGCATCAATACCCACCTAATAATTGCCACCATTTTTGTTGAGCACCTGGGTGCTCTACATATATATGTCTAATCCTTTATAACCTCATGAGGTATTGCATTGTGGATGTCCTCTTACAGATGACAAAACCCAAGCACAAGGAGCAGTGGACTTACCCAAAATTAATCAGTGGCAGAGCTGGAAGTCACACCAGATCCACTTGGCTGCCCAACTCCTGTTCTGTCTGATGCACCATATTCCACTTCCTCAATTATATAAATAGCGATTAAGAAAAAAATGTTCCTAATCTCATTAAAAAGTTATGCAGCCATCAAATGACAATGTATATAATGAGGGGCATCTGGGTGGCTCATTCGGTTCAGCATCTGACTCTTGATTTCGGCTCAGGTCATGATCTCAAGGTCGTGGGATCAAGCCCTGCGTCAGGCTCTGCACTGAGCATGGAGCCTGCTTAAGATTCTCTCCCTCGCCCTCTGCTTCTCCCCCACTTCCTTCATACTCTCTCTCTCTCTCTAAAAAAAATGTATACAATGAGATAAAAAAAACCTATGTGATCATTGAATATATATATGCACAATATGATTAATAATACAGTCAGACATTTATATACATAATTATACCTGTATATATCCATATACTTGAATGTATACAAATGATTATGTTCCTATATAGTTTCTGCATCAATCTTGTGATATTAATAATATATACATACAGTAGGATTACAAAAACATATGCACATATGTTTACTTAGAAATATACACATGCACTCCCATATAAGGAAACTGCAGAAAAGGAGTAGGTCTTCCCCCAAGGGATTGCCGTGGCTATACTGAAGTGATGAGTCCATGTGTGATTTTTTTTTCCACTTTCTAAATTGATCAAATCTTTAATGAATTGTAAAAATTTCCTTTTAAAACAAAAAACCATTTTAAAAAACCAAAGGGCAATATGGGGTCAAGACACAGAACTGACATCGGGAAACCACAGCCCTACATGGGGTTCATCCTCTGGCCTGTGTGAGATTTCAAGTGGACACAAGTCAAGTCCTATCTGGACCTTGGTTTCCTCCTCTGAATCATGTTTCCCTGCCGGGGTGTCCTGCAGAGTGAACAGGACCATCAGATTGAATGAGTAGGAAGTTAACCATGATGTTGGGTTGGAGGAACACTTATTTGTGACCTTGACTTATCCATAAATGGAATATCAACTGCAGCCGAGCATAGTGGCAGGCACACAGTCGGTGTTCAAAGCCAGCTTCACAAATGGATGTGCAAATGAGTTCTGAGCCTAACATGCTGTTATTGATGCAAATATGGCTCTCTTAGCAGTGGAGGGAGCGTGATGTCTAGGACATACTCGATCAAAATTATTGGCCCATCTTAATGCTCGCAAAGTGGACCTTCCTGCTGTCGTTGCTTTCAGTGTTTATTAGGCACATGTATTTCAAAGAGTCATGGCTGGAGGTTGACCACCTGGATAGCGAATTGCATATCCCCAGCCATGCTGATAGGGTGGTGGGCCCGAGAGAAAGGAAGGGTGATTGAATATATGGTGGTGTTAGTGGAGGAACAACCAGGTCTGCAGAGAAACAGAGTGACCCATGGCTACTTTTGAGTGCATGGTCTTAGTGGTCCTGGGCCTGTAATGAGCCTTCAAGGTTGCCCCTCACCCTGCCCAGTCCTGCAGGGCAGTGGGGACATCTGTCTCTGGCTGTGCTCAGGGCAAAATGGATGGCGAGCCAGTGCCTCATGCAGAAATGGAAGCAAGGTGCAGGAGTGGGTGCGGAGCCATCCCCTCAATGGCCAGGAAGCCTGAAGAGCAGCAGAGATCTGCACAGCTGAAATGAAGCCTTGGGTTGTACAAGAAAACTGCCTAATTAGATGTTTGGGGAAAGAATAAAAATGCTGGAACACCAGATAGGCGTGCGGCACATGTGACATTTCCTATAAGAACCAACAAGATGTGACCCTCATCCTGTCTCTGGTTTAGCTGCCTCTCTCCCCTGGGATGGGGAGATATGCTCGTTACTACTGCACAATAATAATAATAATAATAATAATAATAATAATATATGGAGATTATAAATTCTCTGTCTCCTTCACTCCCTCTTTCTCCCTCCTCCTCTCCCCGCCCCCCTTTCCCTTCTCTTATATTATTTCAAACCCTGCCTGGCTAAAGAGAGAAGAGAAGGAATTGCTCTCATCTCTTTACCTGTAAAGCTCTTTGTAATGTAATCCCCTCCTTGTGTGTCTCTTTCAGAATAGACATGATTTTCACCCCTGGACCTCCATCTACCCCAAAACATAAGAAGTCTCAGAGAGGGGCAGCGTTCACCTACCCATCCCAGCAGTCTCCCAGGTGGGGCGTGGGGACGTGGAATGAGGCTGCATGGCCCGTCCCTATTCCCATATCTCAGCTCGCTTCCTTTATGGTTGGGGGCGGCAGGGTGGAAGGGTGGGGGGAGGTTGCCATTCTTCTCAATACAATGAAGAAAAGAGCTTGAAGATTATTCCAGTTTGGAGATATTTGCAAGGTTTCTGTACTAAAGACTTATTGCCCCTCTTCCCAGACCATGTGAGTGACACTCCTACTGTGGTTACTGAAAATAAACATAACCCTCAACGTGTTATAAAAGAAGAGGAGCCCCATGAGTTTATTGGAACATAGAGAATAACTCGTGTGAGCAGAGTTGAGGCCATTTGGCCTTTCCTGCATCATTAGCTCTGCACTGTCCGAACCCCCTCACAGAGAAGGAAATCAGGTGTCAGGCCTCTGGCAGCATGGTCACAGACAGAGAACTCTGTCCCTCACCGGGGCAGTCTTGCTCTCCCCACATAGTGTTTGGAAATGTTCCTTGTACAGGCCCCGATGAACCAGGAGCAGTCCTGGAGAAAGTCCACTGCCCAAATTTATACCTTCTTTATTCCCAGAGGTCTTCAGGGCAGGGAGCATGGATGAGTAAAGGGAGTCAGGCTTAAGAAAGAACTCCCACGAACCTTATAGCGATAAGGTTGCGTACTATAAACGAAGCAAGGGCATAAGTGGGATGATGTGAAGGCATCTGACCTTCAGCCTCAGTACGGGGGATGGAATAGGAGTGGTGGACCCTGGGGGTCCTGGAGGCCATGTGTGCCAACTAAAGGAGATCATCGTCCCTCTGCTCTGCTGCTGCTAATTTTAGGAATTGATATCCTCTGGTTCCAGAGAGTCTACTTTTTCAAGAAAAACTGAATATCCAGATGTCATATGAAATTCCTTATTTTTGAAATGTTTTTAAAACTCTGTGCAAGCTAAGGAAAGCACTGGTGGGCTGGAATGAGTGCACGGTTCATGTCTGCTTTAATTCAAGAGCGCTCGGCCGGAGACAGGCCAGGGACGGAGCAGGAGTCAGGAGGCTCTGAAAGAGAAAACCAACTACCCCCAAAGTGCCTGACACGATGGTTTTGAGCAATAGCCAGGCTCCCTGCAGGTTCTCTTCTACTTTGAACATAACCTGCACCACCAAGGAACCATCTCAATCCCATTCCCCACCAGCAACCTCTTTTGCACCATTTTCCAGATCCTGCATCTATTTCCCTGCCTTAACCAAATGAAACAGATGAGATATACCCACCTTACAGAATTTCAGAGATTAGCCAACCCCCAGGCCCGCCCAGCCTACCCCCACACAGAGTAGAAGCTCTCTCTCTCTTCTTCTTCTAAGAAGCAGTCTAAGGAATGTG